TTTTGTATACTCAGCCTTTCACTGAAGTAAAAATGAGAACATGTGCAGCATGTATCCAATTGTTAGGAAATTTAAATGAAATGACCAATGTTTTAGACATATAGCTTAAATGACTCAGGGAAATACAGAACTTTGAAGTGACCAACAGCAATCACACAGTAAATGAACATTTAGAACAATTTCCCCCCAAAGAATTCAATAGTAAAATGAACACTAAATCTCAAGCTCACCAAATCTTAAAGAAAACCAAAGGAACACAGGAAACCACAGTCTTCTTAAATGTGTTCCATGAAGTAAAGTGACAAATGTGCATTATTCTGGACACATAAAGAAGAGTAGGAAACCAGACCAAACTTACTCAGAGAAATAGATGAAAACCAGTGAAGAGAAAACTCAGTAATTTGTAAATCATGGGATATGTCATGGCCAAAGGCTCATCATTAACCACAACATACCCCACCCACTGAGTTAGCTAAATATAATATGGACATTATCTCAGCCAAGAGTGAATAATAAAAGTGATAAGTCTCAAGCTACCTTCATATGTGAAGCTTTTCATTATCTCTAAGAAGGGAAAGGAACTTTCTTTTCTCCATAAATAAGTTAAAAATCATAACAGGCTGAGATGCAGCTCAGTGGGAGAGCTTTGCCTGCATGCTCTAGGCACTGGTTTCCAACACCAACACCAACATCACAACAAACCAACAAAGAGAAAACCGCAATATCGTACACAACAAAGACATAGTAAGAGCTTTCCCTGTGAAAGGGAGCAAAAAGTTCCTTTAGGCAATTATTTTGTGCGTGTTTATTCCCTCAGTGAGAAGAATAATTGACCTGTATGGTCATAGAGGAAGAAATATTGCCATTATTCATACTGGCATTGCTCATTTGATTACAGTAGGAGAAATATAATGTATATTTAATTATCAATGTACATTTACTCAGTTGGAGGCATAGCTCAGTGGTAAAGTGCCTGCGTGGTACACATAAGGCCCTGGGTTCAAACCCCCAGCATTGCCATAAAACTAAAATATGGCAACTTCACCCAGGCCTTTTCTGCAACCTACCATACTTATTCTGGTCCCACACCCAGCACACCAGTACAGCCTAGTCTGGCTTTCCTGCCTTCACTGCACAAGAGCTCTTGCTCGAGCACTAGCCTTTTTACCTACTCACCAAAACATAGGGCTCTCTCATATATCCACCATTTCCACTCAGACCTATCTACTCCTATACTCTTATCTTGGGACAGGAAACCATCCTGTGTACCATCCCAGTACCCTCTGTCCATCTGAATCCATCCCCCAAAGTCATTTCCAACTTCTAGACCTACCACACCAACTCATCTTCCCTTTGCTGCCACTCTGCTCCATCCTTCACAGACTCAGTACTAACAAAGTAAGTGCACATGCCCAGATATCATCTTTATTATGAACAATATAAAAGATCAAGCCAGTATCCTCTCTCTACAACCTAAGGGTCTTAAAAATGCTTACCGATGGGAATCACATAGGTGAACTCCAGGACACAAAAGCTGAAAGAAGAATCATAAACCTTCTCAAAGACTTCAAGGCATTGAGAAGACACAAAGACAGATCTCAAAGAAATCAAAGACAATGAGCTTAAAGATAAATGACGGAACCTAGACGAAATGAGCTGGGAACATGGCAAATCTTTAAGAATGGAGCAGTAGGAAAGTATGAACGTAAGCATATATGAAGGGGGAACAATGGCAAGCCAACGACATAGACCAGATCTTCAAAAACTTCATAGATAACTTCCTCAAACTAAGAATAGGTGCACCCATCCAAACTCAATGAAAACACAGTACCCCAAATAGAGACAACCAGAAAGAAAATGCCCAGAGTGTGACATAGATAAAACATTAAGTAATATACAAAGAAGGTATATTGAAAGTTGTAAGAGAAACCATGCATACCACATATGAAGGAAGACCTATCACATTGACAGCTATTTCTCAATGGAAATAATGGAGGAGTTTGAGGAAGACCCAAAATACTATGGCAGCCAACACAACAGACAATAATGTACACAGCAATCTTATGCGACATGATCAAAGGAGAAAGAAGACTTGCCTCCAGAGATGCTAACAGTCTAAAATAGTTAAGTCCAACAAACCAAACATAAAGAAAGTGGAGAAATCATTATTTAAGAATTAAAAGTGGAGTGAGCATAGCAAAAAAAAAAAAAAAGAAAAGAAAAGAAAAGAAAAACAAGAAAAGAAAAAAAGAAAAAGAAAGAAAGAAAGAAAAAGGAAAAGTGGAAGGAAATGCAAATCCATATTTGTGAAGACACAAAATACCACCAAGGGCACAAACAATAACAACAAAATCAACAATATGATGAACACTTCCTGCAGAAAAAAATTAAAAACAACAGATGACACTTGAATGGGGTAAAAAGCGCAAGATGCCAGTATAATCCAAAACTGATACTGACACTGTTGGCATCAAGGTTACAAAAAGCATTTAGTGTAGTGGGATCCCCACCCTTCTCACCGTTTATTCCTGTAAACCAACAGCGAAAATAATATGCCAGTCCCAAATCTAAGAAAACCTACATAGGTACAACCAAAACCAGATTTATAAGAACTGAGATGATGAAGAGCAAAGAAGACAGTAAATGAGACATTCTTATTACCTCTGCAAACTATCATACAGATGGAGAATTAACACGTTTAGACAGGCAAGCTATAGGGCAATGCGTCCTAGAGGAAAGAAAATGTTCAAAGCAGTTTTGAAAATGGATGCAGACTAAAAGAAAGTTAAGTTTCTCATGCTTTTAACCCTATCAGGACTTTATTCTTACTTGCTTCTGGGAAGCAGGGTACAAAACCATGCTTGCAAATCTGCAAGGAAACATCATTGAATATACTGTAGTTTTTCAAGATAACTGACAGTATGTTTTCAGTATGTCATCACAAAAAAAAGTGAAGATGATAGATATGTTAACTGACTTCATGTAATCATTGCACATGTATCAAAATTCACATTTCTATCTGTATATGCAGTACAATTTCTAGTCAAATATTAATTATGATTTATTATAGCTTGCATGAAGATTCAGAGAGGAAAGTCGGCCACAAGCCACAGAAGCCAGGCACACACCTTTAATCCCAGCAGCCAGAAGTTATGAGGTAGTGGTACACACCTAGTGTCAGGACTCAGGTTACAACGATTTTGAGATGTCAGTTGTAAGTAATACTAAAACAAGGGAAAGATCATAAAACGTAACAAAACTAATATTTGAAAATGGGGCTGAAGTACCAGTTATTGATTTCACAAATAATGAACGTCTGACAAGCTCTGCATCAGTTGCTGGTTTCATGACATGGAATGAACCGACAAAAGCTTTTCTGTAAAAATAACCTTGGCTATTTAAACGTCATTGTCCACGCATATCGCCATGAGATTGCTGTGCTTTGTGAAGACATGACAGAACTTGCACTGGATAATAAAGCCTAACTCACAGAGTCTGCATGTAAAAGCACAAAAAAATAATATGTAGTCTGTCCTGTCAGGGTTTGGATCTGACACGGCTCACAATGCCAACATTCAAAGGCAATCTATGGTAAATTTTGTGGTATTACTTTCCTCATTTACTCCATGTGCATATGAATGTAGATCAACATTTTTCTGTTTCAAAACAAAAACAAAAACATAACTGGCTTTCAGTGAGAATACTCTTTTGCAAAGTGACCTGTCATTTTAAAATACGAGACTCTACATAGGCATATAATGTTAATATTTAGATTTAGAAAAATAGTTCCATTTTGCTATTAAAGTTCAGCAAGGAAATGTTGAAGGTATTTACCTTTTTGCAGATGTGAGGGGATTTTACTCATAGAATCAAAAACAAATAATTAAAAATTGACACTTTTAAAGAATTGCAACTTATTTTGTGTAAATTGTCCCATAGAAACTTAATAGATAAATGCAAATGAATAAAACAAAAACATCATAAACCATGTATATATTTGCACATTAGCAAAATAACTGGATTTATAAGGAACCTTAAGTCAAACAAATATTTTTAACTCTATACATGTATAGGCAAAGAATACACAGAAATTTGGGGCATATGCATACAACCACATATGTGAATTTAATACTCATAATCAAAAATGCCTAATAAAATAAGCAATAAAAGTGTTTACCATTTAAATCGCTAAAAAGTTGTTGGTAAATGATTACCTTCAATTCTACTGAATTTTGATTGGGGTGTTTTTTGTTTTGTTTTTCGAGACAGGGTCTCTCTGTATTGCTTTGGGTGTTGTCCTGGAACTTGCTCTGTAGACCACGCTGGCCTCGAACTCAGAGACTCGCCTGAGCCTGCCTCTGCCTCCCCAGTGCTGGGATTAAAGGCCTGAGTCATCAACGCCCCCTGTGACAGGTGAGTGTTTTATCGTACTCCAGTACGTGAACTCCAGGGGTGAAGAGTTGGAATATGTACAATCTTTAACACCCATCAAGATGGATTTGACTCGGTCGTTATCTTTACAAAAAAAAAAAGAATCAGTTTACAAGAGTGAGGCTGCAGGTTCTTGATTTTGAGTGAGGTCAGCTTAAGTGACATATTGTGACCCTTTGGAAACCATGAAAGGAAAGGGGGCGGGGCAGAGGAAAGGAGAAGGAGAATGGGGAAAGGAAAGGCAGAAACAAGGAAAGAGAGAAGGAAGGAAATCAGTCAGAAGAGAAGGGAGGGGAGGAAGGAGGAAGAAAAGGGAGAAAGGGAGGGAGGAGGGTCACTGTTCATAGTTTTAAATAAAAGGCCTGCTGTCAGGGGCGGGGCCACTGGAGGAGTGGGGCCATTATCTACACTGCAGATGCAGTCAGTGAGTAATGACCTCCCTTCTCTGTGACGTTTTACACTGTGCTAGAGAAAGCCAGTGAGCCCAGGCGGTCTGGCACTCTCCAGCAATGGCATGAGAGGGAGGCCTCTGCAAGAGTCTCCTCCAGAAGTTCTAGGAGATTTCATCAATGGGACTTTGCAGCAGCAGAGTCTGGAGATGTGAGGACTCCAGTTTGACAGAGCCACAGCAACCAGGAGGCAGTGCGGGTCCCATTTTGGCGTCTGGCAGTCGCAAGCGCAAATGGCGCAGTTGGGACTGTTTGGGGCCGAGCTGGAACATTCATGGACCTCAGAACCAGGTAGTAGTAAGTCTACAGTATGTTTTCGATTTCATCCAGAGAAAAAGAAGGAAGCTCTCATCTATGCATAATTACCAAACTTTATTTTTGGGTGGCGAAGCCAGCGATATTAAAATCCGTGCTCTGGGGAAAATATGGTCCTTGCACAAAACATTCTTATACCAATCGGGGTACTTTGCTAATATGCTCAAAGATATTTGGAAAGAAAGGCACAGTGACATTATAGAACTGGAGATCAAGAACGAGGACATAAACATCAGGTCTTTGGACTTTGTGTTTGGTTCACTGTACAGGGACGATGACATGCCAATGAAGCCCCTTCAAGTTCCTCATGTTTTGGCGGCAGCATGCCTGCTTCAGGTAGAGCGCGTGATTCAGCAATGTAATGAGACCATGAAGAAAACCATTGATGTGAAAACCGTGTGTTCTTACTATGTAGCAGCAGAAACATATAGATTGAAGTCTGTAAAGACACAGTGCTTTGACTGGCTTCTTTGCAACTTGATGATACACCCAAGTGTTAGACTTTACAAAGACATTGATATAAAGGTCATGTATCTACTTGTTTCATCATCCGACCTACTAGTGTTGCAAAGGGAAATTGATCTATATAACACACTGAAAAAGTGGATATTCCTTTATTTTAATCCTCGCTGGAAAGGTTCCTTGGAACGTCTCTTCACTAGTGCCAACAGCTGGCTTTCCAGGCAGATGGAATTCATTGATAGCATCACTTTTCTTGAAAGTGAAGAAGGGCTGGTATTTCAGCCAGTGTTTAGACAACTGAGGTTTCAGCATATCATCTGTGACCTGACCTCCACGAGTATTCTTGAACAAGATCGCCTCATACCTTTAGAATGGCTGTACCCTGTTTATAAACAACAGTGGCTGACTTTGCTACAGGCACAGCAGCACAGAAAAATTGGGCCAGGAACCATCAATGAAAAAGAACTTGAAGGGTGCAGCATGAGATGTGGTGTAAGGATCGACAGAGTTGGCACATACTCCTGGAAGTGGTCACGTTGCAAGTATAGCTTTCCTCTACACATCATCTTTACCAACCGTGGTATCATTTTCAAGCAATATCGTCAGCAGTGCGATGGCTCAGGCTGCTTAAAACAGATACGGAATGTAGTGTTCAGAATAACTTTGGTGTATTTTGATCCCAATGGCAAACTAACTTTCAATAAGACAACTGGTCATAAAATGGTTACCTTTGAAGATAACGAGGGAAAGTGTGTAATGGAGTTTGATAGCAACATTTTAAACTTCCCTTTATACATATTCTGCAACTTCCTGTTCATATCATTAACAAACACAGAAAACCTGTGATCTTTTCGATTATTAGACCCCAGGAGCAGTTTGAAAACCTTGAATGACTCATTTAATTTGAAGGCTGTGTTTGAATACCATCAAGATGACCGACAACAAGATGAAAAGAAATCTTATGAGTCTGGTACCACCACACATGACTGCTCTCCACCTCCCCTTTATTTCCACGCATTTCTGAAGAAAAATTAAGTTCCAACAGCATGTTTGTCAAAGCGATTCAAAGGAAGCTGGCCTATTGCTTTTCCTTTACCATCAACAGTCAAGCTTTGGATGGAAATAAGAGACTCTATTTGCAAGGATTAACATCTAAATGAACTTGTCAAATAGATTTGAACCTAAGGTTGATGCAAAAATTAAAAAAAAAAAAAGAAAATAAGTAAATAAGTCTCTCCATTGCCGATGCTGTTTTGAACCATAGCTTATGCATAAGCTTGCAAGATGTAAATGGTTGGTCAAAGAACAATTGAGATTACTCACTGTTGATGTATGACTTCACATAACCAAATAGTGTCAGGGTTTTCCATATCGTGTACCCCTATAGTTTATTGTTACTTTAGAATGGTTTTTCAGACCAATTTTTGCATGACTTGGATAACTATTACTGCTGATTATTTTTAAGTATATAAGCACATTATATATATTTTCTTATAATTAAATATTATGTGGTACGCTGTATAGACAAATGACTTATATATGCAATGTATTTACAGAGAAGCGTGCATCTTTACATACGCATACTTATGTTTTATGTAATCCTAAATATCGAAGAATGCAATTTTTGAAATGGATAAACAAGCCAGGAAATGAAAAATATATCTTCATGATTTCAGTTATCTGGCTATCAAGGTAGGAGTTATTTCATAGTATCCTGTTCACTTTCTCACCTTTATTTTATTTTCCTTTTGCTGTGATAAAATACCCTCATGAAAGAAACTTAAGGGGGAAAGTTTATCTCCTCTCATACTTCAAGTGTTGGTCCACCATGGCAGGAATTTGAAGCAGCTGGCCACAATAACATCACCAATAGAAAGAGATGTGTGCTGCGAAGTCATAGTGACATATATCCACACAATGTAAAGAAATATTCCACACTTCCCCTTTTTTGTCTAATAAAAAGGAAGGTGTTAACTTTGACATGGTAAAATTATGTGCCCAAGGAAGTTATCAGGTAAGAATTATATGTACACTATGCAGTCCATTTGCATTTGGCAAATTTAGAGAAAATACTATGTTATCTTTATGAGTCTATTTTTTAACCTAATGTATCTTTTTATTACAATGAAGGAGAACTTTAAGTCTAATTATTTAGTCTTTAATTCCCTCAAAATCCCCAGAGGGGTGTAATATTACTAAATGACCAGGGCATCTGGCTAGCAGGAGAGTCACTCAAAGTTCTTCTGTAACTGGGGTGTCCAGCTTTGGCCTACAGGCATAGTATATCTGACAGACATTTTTGAGAATCAGGGACTTAGAACAACTGTCCTACCTTCTCTTGGCCAGTTTGTCAGTCACTTTCTTTTGTGTCCTGCTGGTGCAGTTTGGGCAGCATACTGTCTGCAGTTGAGGCAAGAGCAGAGTTTTTCACAAATGGCTACCTCATGCCATAAAGAAAGCAAATTCCATATGGGAGGTTCTCTGATGCCCATAATCTTCTTTTGAAGTAAATTGGTGCTGTCAGGAGCAGACGTGCCTCACCGTGATGAAAAGTCTTAGGTTATTAAACATATAAAATACCATATTATGTATGTATTTGACAAGTTTGAAGAACATCTACCTATGAAATTGTGTGTGTCCAACCTTGAAAAATGCATAAACCGACTAAAAGCTTGGAGATTAATTATGGCTGCATAGTAAGTAATGTGTATTTTCTAAGTATGCGTTATATTTTTTAATGAGCTGTATAAACACAATGCCCCAAAGAAGAACAGAAGCTTAAAAGGCAGTATAACAAAATTAACTTTGAATTTGTATCAAGAAACCAAAGTCCATACCAATATAAATTGTTTTGAGCTTCATATTTGTTTTTTGGATTAAAGTAGATTCAATAATCAACCCTTTAGTCTTATCATTCCCATACCATATCCTTTTTTCCTCTAGAGAGAACCCTTTAAACAGACTCACCACGTGGCAGAGCATAGATAAGAAATAGGGGGTAATTTAAAATATAAGGGTCAGCCAGTAACAAGCCTGAGCAATCGGCTGGACATTTATACTGAATAATAAGTCTCTATGTGGTTATTTGGGAACTGGCTGGTGGGAAAGGACAGTCTGCCTACAAGAACTATGTCACAGATCTTCGTATAGTGAAACGCTTTCTGTTCATCCTTTGGACATGGCTTGGGCAGTCGGGGATAACTTTGCAGCGGAGGAAAAACATACTCTAAATTCTGGATAAGTATTTCCAGTGGGACTTCCATGAAGAAATGGAGGTTTCTGGAAGTGAGGACCCTGGTGAGGGTCACTGCGACAACACAGACCACAGACAGAAAGGACAAAACACCAGTAGATAAAGCATGGTGAGTTGGTGTGGCCCAAGTGTCAAACTGTTGTTGTATCTGAGAAGGGACATGTGGAGGGAGGGCTGGTGTGTGCCAACTATTTTCATGGGAGACAGAATGCATGCCTCTACTCACCACAGATAGAAATCCCAGAAGGCCAAATTAGAGATAGCACCAATGCTGGGGTTACTTATAGGCCTATGGGTGACGGGTTACTTACAGAAGCAAAAATGACTCAGAGACACAGCTGTATGCACAAAGCCCACCCAGCATGGGTGAAGGACTGCTCGCACAAGGACGGGAACCTGGAGCCCTCTGACAGCCTTCGGGCTTCTCAGAGGCTTGGGAAGGGTTCTTTCCAGGGAACTCGGTCGGTCTAAACCTCTTCCAGGCAGCATGCCTGATCTCTGCTCCTTCCAGTAAGAGTCTGTCTCAGAAGCTTCTTTGTGGTAGGCGTATCTGAGAGTGACTCACAGCAGTCTTTGTTGCTCCCTCTTGGAAGGGAGGGGCCTGGTGAATCTGTTCAGTTTCAAGGACTTCCTGAAGCTATCTTGGGTTGTGTACTTCTGGCCTAAGGAGCTCCTGTGCAGGATGAGATTTTTCAATCCAATAGGAACTGATAAACAAAAAGAGCTGAGTTGTGTTTGGATTGAGGCATGAACCAAAGATGAGGACCACATGGCAGAAAGACAGGCAGGCATGTAGCGATCCTAAAGGTTTGTGGCTTGGGAGACTGGCTGGAAGATTGTCTGGGGGAAGTGCTTTAGATCTCAGGCACAAGAGGGAAAGGGAACTGTGGAGCAGCAGCATGAGGACCAGGAGTGAGTTTGGGAAAGATCTCAGAAGTCTTTGGTAGGTTTTCTTAGAGTTGTGAGAGGAGAGTCCAAGGACAGTGAGAGACATGGATCCAGAGACCAAGAGAAGCAAAGGCATACTTGACAAGCAGATACTGGTGGGCCAGTGTATGTTTTTTTTTCCTACAGAGGAATTTGAGGGTGGGCTCATTGTGGGGGTTGCGATGGTTGCAGAAGAGAAATTATACTTCAGTGCAACTAACCAATAAAGGCAACTTAGTCCCAAACACATTGATTTCCAAGATCAGTAACATTTATAAGTTGTCTGTGTGTAGAAAGTTATGAAATAAAGGAGAGGGGGAAATGGGGTGTGTAAAGAGATCGTTCCATGTCAGCAGACTGGAAGACTGCAGGATTAAACACCATTCCTCCTGAGTTGGTCATTATTTTCAACACATTCCAATGAAAAGTCTATATTGTGAGAATGCCTGGTCTACAGGTTTTAAAATAGAATTCAACTATCCAAGCCAAGAAGTGGTCATTGAAAAAGAAGGAAGAGCAATGTGTGAGTTTGACATGCTCTGTGGATACAGGCTCATTTGCATGGGAAACAACATGTGGTGATTGTGCCCCTGCAGGCCAGGGGAAACTGCCTTTCCACAGTTAGTCACAGAAAACAGGGCTCTTCCTTTCTGTCACCACTCTGAGTGAGCCTTGATTTTGAAATAAAAATCTACATCTTTTGAAATATGACTGAGGACTATTTGTGTCTATTTTCATGTGCATGCTTATATTTGTTAGCGTTTTTGTATACTCAGCCTTTCACTGAAGTAAAAATGAGAACATGTGCAGCATGTATCCAATTGTTAGGAAATTTAAATGAAATGACCAATGTTTTAGACATATAGCTTAAATGACTCAGGGAAATACAGAACTTTGAAGTGACCAACAGCAATCACACAGTAAATGAACATTTAGAACAATTTCCCCCAAAGAATTCAATAGTAAAATGAACACTAAATCTCAAGCTCACCAAATCTTAAAGAAAACCAAAGGAACACAGGAAACCACAGTCTTCTTAAATGTGTTCCATGAAGTAAAGTGACAAATGTGCATTATTCTGGACACATAAAGAAGAGTAGGAAACCAGACCAAACTTACTCAGAGAAATAGATGAAAACCAGTGAAGAGAAAACTCAGTAATTTGTAAATCATGGGATATGTCATGGCCAAAGGCTCATCATTAACCACAACATACCCCACCCACTGAGTTAGCTAAATATAATATGGACATTATCTCAGCCAAGAGTGAATAATAAAAGTGATAAGTCTCAAGCTACCTTCATATGTGAAGCTTTTCATTATCTCTAAGAAGGGAAAGGAACTTTCTTTTCTCCATAAATAAGTTAAAAATCATAACAGGCTGAGATGCAGCTCAGTGGGAGAGCTTTGCCTGCATGCTCTAGGCACTGGTTTCCAACACCAACACCAACATCACAACAAACCAACAAAGAGAAAACCGCAATATCGTACACAACAAAGACATAGTAAGAGCTTTCCCTGTGAAAGGGAGCAAAAGTTCCTTTAGGCAATTATTTTGTGCGTGTTTATTCCCTCAGTGAGAAGAATAATTGACCTGTATGGTCATAGAGGAAGAAATATTGCCATTATTCATACTGGCATTGCTCATTTGATTACAGTAGGAGAAATATAATGTATATTTAATTATCAATGTACATTTACTCAGTTGGAGGCATAGCTCAGTGGTAAAGTGCCTGCGTGGTACACATAAGGCCCTGGGTTCAAACCCCAG